CCAGGAGTAAGGCCATGAGTATTTCATCTCACTTTCTCTGCAGAAATCAGCCTTTACTTCATTAGAGAAACCTAAAGGGGTTCTTATAAGGAGCTTGCCATAAGAAGTACGGCCATTCAGTCACACTGAGGAGGGTCCACATGGCATTGAGAGGGTGCTGCCCTGTGTGGGTGAGAGTCCACAGCTGCCCAGTAGCAGCTCAGGAAGGCGGTGCTCAGCCCCATCACCACTGTCCGGTGGACGCCTGTGTGCCTGTTGCCTTCTCTGGGATCCTCTAGTGTGTGGGGACAACTTTCAATATTTCCCCTTAAGGAAAAATGATAAGGAAAAAAATGTTTGTTTGGGGGAAAGGACTTTGAATCCCCTGGGGCCAGATACCTAACAATTTATGTTTGTGACTGATGGAGAATTTCTGGAATGAATGAGAAAGCCTTTGCAAAATTATGCAACAGTTTACATCAGTCATGCTAAGTGTTTGTCTAAAACAGCAAACTGAAGACCAAATTATTCTCCTGTTGAGGTCTATGGATGGCAGATTTAAAGGGAAGAGCCACAAAGACTTGCAAAGATAGGAGAGGCTCCATCTCTAATGCATGTAGAAGCTCCTTACCAGTGCCTATCAAGAGCAGAGCGTGGAAGCCACCATGCTGTGTGGAGCTGCTCGTCAGGGCAAGTGTCACAGCAGGATTTCCCCAACCCAGTTCCATCATCACAGACACAGGGAGATGCAGGGGAAGCCTGCCCACTGTTTGGTCCACTCTGCTGTCCTTTGGCAGCATAGATCCTTAGGTGCTCAATAAAGTCATGCTGTATTGAAGACATGAGAATCAAGCTTTCTTTTTTTCTTTTCTTTCTGTGCGTCCACCCTGAGCCCTGGCTCTAACTTCTGAAACTCTTATCCTAAAGGATGTGTGGCCATGTTTGGCAGAAGAGCCACAGCTCGCTGCTTTAGGAGCTGACATGACTCCTTCATTTCTGCGCATGCCCCAGGGACTAGTGTGGATCCTGAGAGGAGGCTGCCATGGAACACGCAGGTGTCACTGGTGGGGGCCTACAGGTGACCTGGATGATGAGCAATAGAGTCACCCTGAGTCACAGAATCTTAGCATCAGAAGGGCTCCAGGAATCTTCCAGGCCAGGGGCTCAAGTGGGATGGAAGCAGGGCCTAGAAGAGGGTCCAAAACAAATCAAACAGAAGCTTCCAGGTAATTGTACTCCCAAGCTATTACTTACAACCTCAGGTGGAGGACAGCTGCTGTCCCATTGTTCAGCTGTAACTGACTGACTGCCTTGTGCTGGGCCTGTGCTGGGCCCTGGAGGCACAAAGATGGAGTCAGTCTGCCCTGTGTCTAGGGTTCTCCTCATCAGGAGAAGAAGGCCAGACACTGGGAGGGTCAGGAGATAGTCAAGCAGGGAGCCCGAGGCCAAGGCAGAGTTGGTTAAGAAGGGCACCTGGTATTGCAGGCCAACACACACTTGCCAGCCGGGAGCAGGCCAGGGCCTGGCACACAGGAAGCTGGTGGAGAAGGAGACCCTCTTTAAGCACCAGCCTGTTTGATTGGTTGGTTTACTTTTGCAAGTTATTACAATATTATTTAAGACCTTTTTTGGATCAGTGTCACTTTTAAAGTAGGTGTTACCAAACTAATTTCTGAACATTACAGGTCTGAACAGTCACTAGCAAGTGACTCAGAAAAAGGGAAAAAGTATACACTTCACTCGGCTGAGGGGTTCACATTTTTTAAATCAACATCATATTTGCTTTTCAGATGCAATCTGAAAAGCTGCGAATTCAGCTCACCTCAAAGCCATAATTTCAAATGTTAGAGGCTGGTCTCTGTGGTTTCCTACTGGTTCCGGCAGGGAACCACCACTTTCTTTCTCCATAGAGCTTTGGGTATTTCCTGTATACCCCTTGGCTACCTAATGTCTCAGGTAATAAAGGTATCCAAAGATAAAGCAAAGATCCCTAAGGGAGAGTGTTGTCTCCTAAACAGGACTGTCTTGCCAGGCTACAAGAACCAGAGAGAATAATAAACAGCACAGGATGAAATCAGCATGATTGCAAAAGGACTGGACTCAGGAAAAACAAGTTTGTCCAGAACAAATTACCAGAAGGGATCAAAACATCTTGTTTTTTCCTCGGTGATAACCATATGCTACCTGCTTGGAATGTTTACCAGAAAATGGATTAAAGACCTTTCCACTGGCAAAATAGAGCCAGGGTTCACCCAGGATACATCTGGCCCCTTAGTCCCAGGGAAATTAGTTCCAAGGCTTAACCAGTCTGACCAGATGATTTGTGGAGGGACCAGCCATGCACAATGTGCCCCTGGTGTTTAGGACGCAGGTGCCTGGCAGCCTCAGAGGGGCAGCGGGATATCCTTGCCAGGTGCAGTGGTGGGCAACAGCCCCCTGCCCTCAGTCCCTCAGCAGTGATCAGACGGGAAGCTTGGTCAATCAGAGCCAAGCAACCGATTGTAAAAACAGCCAGATGGCTGGGCTATATTTAGGCCCTGAGAGCTGCAATTGTTTGGGATCAGGCCAGCTGCTCACATGCCCTGCCCAAGACTCATGTTGTTCAGGGTGGGGCCCTTTGCCCTCCTGGTCAACCTTTAACAGAGATGTTTTCTCAGACCTAGGAATGGGAATTCCCAGGGTTTTTCTTTCCCAGAGAATGCAAAGGAAACGAAACTCAGGCTTGATGGAGAGAGCCATTGTTCAGGATCCCTGGCTGAGAAGTCTTCATGGGAGAAGGATCACTCTTGTGACTGCACGTGAGCCACACCTATAACTGCCTTTCTGGCACTTGGGCTGGGGATTCGTGTTGTCAAACACAGACCCAAGGCAGTGGTGCTTGCTGCTGAGTGTGTGTGTGTGTGTGTGTGTGCGCGCGCACGCGCACGCACACACACACACTCACACACACACACACACACATGCAAGCCAGTAGGGTGCAGGGATCAAAGACATGGGAAAATGAAACTATCTTGCGAGGATTTTTCTCACCACAGAAGACCCTTCTTCCTAGAATGAATCCTTCAAATACCACTGGGCTCAGGGGCACACTGGCCACTGCTGGGCAGTTTCCAGAGACGCCCCAGCCACTAAGGGGATCTGGCCTCTCTTGGGCCAGAATCCCCAGAAATATGTGCAGAAAGATGCCCAGACTGTGTCCACCCCCCGCCTCCCATGCCCTTGTTCCCTTTCTCCTTTGTGTTTTGTAAATAACATGTATGACCATTTTCAATAATTTAATTTGCATAAAAATTACCTAGAATCTCATTTGGGAGATACAGTGTTATTGAGAGGTTAATAGGCTTTGGAGCCAGACTTTCTGACTTCAAAGTCTAGCTTTGCTACTTATAAATGTGTGTGACCGTGAGCGAGTTTCTTACCTCAGTTTTGCCATCTGTGAAATGGGGATTCTATGTGGAAGAAAACAAACTCAAAGTGCTTTCTATTATTCTCTCACTCAGCAACAATAATCACAAAAGACTTCTGTGACCAAATGGGGTGGGGGATTCTCCCCACGCACTAACCAAGCAATCATTTCTGCAGGGACACAAGCTGGGTGTCCTATAAGTCAGTTTTGGCACTATCTACTTGGAGATAGCACCACCTCTCATAGGTTGAGGGCTCAGCTCCATAAGATGGTCTCCACCTTTCTTATTAATCACAAGCCCTGGCCTCTGGAATTTGTAAGCTACCCACTTCAAGTTGAGATTCCCATGACCCCCTCCTTGGGTTAATTTGTTAAGAGCAGCTCACTGAACTCAAGGGAAACACATTTAATGGTTTATTACAAAGGATATTCCAAAGGATACAGAAAAAGAAATGCACAGGGTGAAATACGAAGGAAAGGGTGTGGAGCTTCCATGCCTCTTCCCCGCTGCACCCCCAACTGCACGCCCCACCCTCCAGGAACCTCCATGTGTTCTGGTATCTAGAAGCTCTCTAACCCTGTCCTTTTGGGGCTTTTATGGAGACTTTATAACATAGGCAAGATTGATTAATCCATCAGCCATTTGTGATCAACTTCACCTTCAGTCGCCCTCCTCCACCCAGTGTTGATGGGGTGGAGCTGAAATTGCCATTCTTCTAATCCTGCCTTGGTCTTTCCAGTGACCAGCCCCATCCTGAAGCGGCTGCCGGCCACCAGTCAAGTCATTCACATATTAAAAGACATCACTTTGGAGATTCTAAGGATTTTAGAAGTTGTATGTCAGGAAACCCACCAACTATATATTTCATAATATAACAGGATAATAGCAATTCCTATCTCTTAAGGGTGGTGGGAGGTAGGTTAGTCAACTTTAATGCAGTAACAGATAACACCAAGAAACTCAGTGTTACAAGAGCATTTGTTTCTCTCACGTTTCGTGGGACTGTTGTAGCTACAGTGGGCTTCTATGGCTCTGCTCCATGTGTCTTCTCATCCTGGGTCCTAGACTAAGGGGGCAGCCCCTACTGGGGACATGCTATTCTCAAGGCAGAGGGAAAGAGCAGAGTCCTGGCAGAAGGGCAGTGACTCAAAGCTTCTTCCAGGATGTGGTGTACCCCTTGCCTCCAGTCACATGAAGTCAGCCAGTGCAAGTCAGTGATCAAGTCAACATCAGTGGGACGGGCATGTGGTTCACCAGGAGGCATCGGGACTCACACCACAAAGTGCAGGGACCTAAACCAGAGAAGGTGGAGCAAACTCTCAGCAACAATCATACCGCGGGAATCTCACGAGATCCTCAAATGCTGCAAACAGTGCCTGGCACATAATAAGCGCTCACTAAGTGTTTATTATTATACTAATAGCTACGCCGAAGGCATAAAACCCTGCCTGCTTTCTCTCCTTGTCTTTTTCCCGTTCTACTTTACCCTCCTCTTCCTCATACCTTTTTCTGGCTCTCCCTCCTCTCCACCCTTACTGCCTAGAACTCTGTCCACACTTAGGCACCCATACCCCTTTATTTCCTGACTTTCATCTCTCTCTTTTTAAAAAAATTCATCCTTCTTTACCCAGTGCTTTAGTCGACATACCTCTGGGCCTTCTATGGCAGGCCCAGTTGTTTTCAGGTATAGGAAAAAGGGATAATCCACCTTTATGTGGACATGAAATGTTTTTTTTTTAATTATCTTTTTATTTTAGTGTACGTAGAGCAGACAGTTCCAACAGGTCATGTTTGCTCCTGACATTTTTCCTAAACCATTTCTAGATCTCTGGCCATTGCCCTTTACCCCCAACCCTCCAACCACCAGCATCAACCAATTTATAATAATAATTTAATAATAAATGTAACAGCAATGACTCTCATTTATTCCGTTATACATTGTGCTAAGCGCCTTACCTCACCTCATTTAATCACTGCAATAGTCCAGATACTCTCTAGATTGTGAGGGCAGACTCTTTGTCCAGATCTCATTCAGCTTTGTGCTTTACCATATGCAGAGACAGCTCCCTGCAGAGTTGAAAGCCCCAGCTTAAGAGAATGAAACTGTGACTTAGTCTAGCTTCCACCAACAACCCACTGTATTACTTCAGGCAAGTTGGCCTCTCTTGCTTCAGTTTACTGATTTGCAAGACAGATATGATGATCTGTGAGACTATGGTGAAGATGAATAACCAGAAGACAGGTGTAAAAGCACTTTGTAAACAATAAGGCATCTTATAAATTCATTAATTCAACAAATATTTACTGAGTGCCTGTTCCCTGCTGAACACTGTTTTTAGCATTGCAGACACAATAAAGAACTAAAAAGACAAATCATGACGGGAGCCATGTGCCACCGCCAAGCCTTGACTTTGGTCTAATAAGTTGGGAAGCCTTTGAAGGTTTTGAACAAATGAATGACATGATCTTACTTTAAGAGGTTTACTCTGGGGCCATGAATAGACTGTAGTCAGGGAAGCCAATGTAATAATCCAGAAGGGTGATGTAGGTGGCTTGGTGGTTATAGCAGTGGAAGTGTTCAAAGTGGCTCAATAATGAATATATTTTTAGATGAAGCCAACAGAATTTGCAGATAAATCACAGGTGAATTTTGGATGAACAAAATTAGAGACAACAATCAAGGGTTTTGGCCTGAGCAACTGGAAAGATGCCGGGATCTTCCTCCATTCCTGGGATGAACACTGTTGAAAGAACAGGTCAGGTAGGTATCAGGAATTCCTTTTGGGGTGTGTTAGGATTGGGATGTCCATTACACATGCAAATACAGCTCTTTAGTAATCAGTTCGAATACAAGTCTAGAGTTCAATAACATCTGCGTTCCACGGTCAGACTGGAGTTATCAGTGCGGGAGTCTTCAACATGCGGCAACAGCATTGGAAGCCGAGAGGCGGAACGAGTTCCCAGGGAGTGCGGGAACACGGAGGTCGGCTGGTCGGATGACTGAGCACGGCCAGGATGGCTGAGGAGGGGCCTGGAGGGAAGAAAAACCAAGAGAGATCATTACTAATGAGCAACACAAGGGGTGTGTTGAAATCAGACTTTGGAGTCACAAAGAACCACTGTCCTGGATTGTCCGCTTACTCACGGTGAACGGAGCAAATTTCTTCTCTTGGCCTTGGTTTCCTTTCCTATAAATGGAATATAACCGCTCCCATCTTGCAGGAGATTTTTTGGTGATAATTAAATAAGATGACTTCGTGAAAAGTACCAGGAACTTTTTAGGCTCTCAAAAAGCTCAATATTTGTAGAAAGTATAGAGTTTCTAGGTTGGAGAGGCTGGAGTTAGGTTTCAAAAGCCTCAACAACACACAGGAGCGGTTACAGCTCTTGGGGTCCTGGGGGTCACGGGACACCTTCCGAGGGGCGGGAGGAGAAAATAAAACGACAGGAAAAAAATGAACGACGCTTTCGGGTGGGCCCGGGACCATAGAGGGTCGCTCCACCACGTTCCTAGAGCGACAGTGGCGGCGCCAGAGCGCGGCACGGCCCTCACTTCCGGCGGCGCGGGAGGCGCCTAGTGAGCCAGGGTGGTGGCCGATGCCGCGCGGTGAGTGGGCCTGGGGTGCGTGGGGCGCGCGGGGCCCGCGCTGAGCACTCGGGTCTGCTCGGGAGCGCGCCAGCCGCAACGAGGGCTGCGCGGGCCCGGGCGATGGCGTGGCAGTCGCCTCCCGCCTCAGGGCAGGGCCTGGCCGCCGGGCCGGGGCAGGAGGGCCTCGCGGGCCCAGGGTGGCGCCGCAGTCTGCGCGGCGGGCGGGCCGGGTCAGTGAGGAGCGGCCGGCGGAGGGCTGGGGACTGGAGAGATTTGGACCGGGGCCCCGGGCGAGGCGCGGCCAGCGGCGGGTGGAACCGGGCCGGTGAGCAGCAGCCTCGGCCCCTTCCGTCGCTCCGAGCGTTAGAGGACTGGATATGTGGAACAAATGCTTAGGCAGCACAGGGCTGCTCTGAGCGGTTTTCAGATTCAGATTCATTGCAGATTCTGACATCCTGATGGTGGTGTCGCTTTATCTCTACCCTCCCAGTTTTAGGAGGAAACTGAGGCAGATTCTAGTTAGCTGGGTGTGCAGGAAGAGCAGCTCTTGTCATTCAGGTTTATCTCTATGCTAGCCCGTGCTGGGCAGATAATGCAGAGCACGGGTCGCCGCGTTGGACTGGGCGATGGAAGATGTGGCTGCCACTAAGAGTACTGGCTCTGAAGTCAGACTGCTAGGGTCTGGGAACCCGGCCAGTGCCTTCTAGCATTGTGCCCTCATTTGTTTAACATAAAACGGAAATAACTGCATAAAGGTTACAGGAGAATTAGAGTTAGCAAAGAATCAAGTTACACAGTGTCTGGCACATAGGCTACCTATGAGTATGATTGCCACGTCTATAGATGGATTTGACAGTCTGAGTTTCTCAAAACCCTGTAGGATTTGAGAGCTGTAAGGGATCTGGGGGTCATCTAATGGGTCCACTTGACATACAGAGTGGACATTGAGACCCAGCACGAGGAAGGTTGCAGCACGGGTTATGGCAGAATCTGGGCTGAAACATGGGCTTCCGGATCTCTGCCCTACTGCCTACAGATCTGACTTCCATAGTATTAAAAAATATGTATAATTACTATATGCAAAGACAGCTCTCTGCAGAGAGATTGTAGCTATTTTTTATAGCCATTATAGCTATTATTATTATTTATATTTTTTAAAAACCAGCATCATGTACCTAACACAATTTCTCCTGTGTGGTATATGTTCTGTAAATATTTGCTTAAGTTAAGGAATGGATAGTGCTAACTGTAATCTTGTGTTACATGCAGCTTGCTCTTAGGCTGACCATAATTATAGCTGATGTAATTATTAAATATCCAGATAAAGTCCTGGGTCTAAAGTCTCAGTTAAAGAATAAGATGAAAGGAAGGCAAGAAAAACGATGTTTGTGTTTTCATTTATTTGCTTTATATGCTTGTATGCAAAGAAACCCAGAGTAATGATTCCTATTTTAAAGTCTACTTTCTGAAACAAGATAATGAAAAGTAGTTCCAATAATTTTATTGCTTTTGAAGTTCTAGCTTTTCCCACTTTGCCACCTATATAGGGTTTGTAGGGGGGTTCGTTGGTTTGTTTTGGCTGTTACTTTAAGTAGCCACAAGGCAGCCTTATAAATAAATAAAATTGTTTGAAATTCTGAATTTTGCATCTGAATTTGGGTATTCTGAAAATTCCATCCTACTTTTACGTGTAAACTCATTTTGTCCCCCTTCTTTTTTTGTGTCCTACCTACCTAATGCTTTTTCTACTCAGTTTCATTTCACTATCTGGTAAAAGTCCTTTTGCAGTTTTTCTCTCTCCAAAAACAATACTTTTGTTTTGGGTTTTCAACAAATTGTCTGCTTTCTTGGATCATTAGGATCTAAAAAAACCAGTAATAAAGTGTGTCTTCATAGACTAAGTAAACCTACCGCTCCCTGTAGAGTAGTTTCGATTTTCAAAACACTTCATGCTACAGAATTAGAGCTAATTTGTCACCTAGAGCTATGGAAATCAAATGGCTAAATACAGATAAACAGGACTATATTATAAAGTAGTATAATTTGTCATTTCTTATTCAGTTGGATACCTTAATTAGACAGTCACCAGTGAGTAGAAGTTTAACGTGGAAGTAAATATTTTAAAATAGTGATACTCTATTACACAAATTTTAATTGTCTTTTGGATTTATTCCATTTCCATTAAGATTTTACCTTATCTCCATTTTTTAGACCTCCAAAATGGTAATGCCTAGAAAATTTCTATTTCACCTCATCACTTTTTTGTTGTTGTTGTTCTGCCCCAGTAGAAACTCCAGTGGTTAACTCAGTCAAAATTTGGTGATATTTGTTAAGCTTAAACTCTGGAACTATTAGAATTACGTTGCAAGTATTTCTCCCCAAATTTCCACTCATATTATCTTTGTTTGCATTTATACTTTTTAAATTTAAACATGAATGCAATTTTGTTGGGTTAAAGAGATATTCAAATTGATTAATTAACATATCTGTAATGTTTTTTTCTGATCATCTGTAATTTTTTTTCCTTCTACACAGAAAATTCTGAGCTGTGCACCTCTGGGAAATGAAACATTAGTTCAGAAGAAGCCTGTAAACTCTCATACATACACATTTTGTTATTCACCATGAGGTTAGCAAAGCCTAAAGCAGGTATTTCCCGGAGCCCAAGCCAAGGAAAGGCCTATGAGAACAAGCGCAAAACAGGCCGGCAGCGGCAGAAGTGGGGCATGACTATTCGATTTGATTCCGGCTTGAGTAGACTTAGAAGAAGCTTGGATGACAAACCCTACAAGTGTACTGAATGTGAAAAGAGTTTCAGTCAGAGTTCAACTCTTTTTCAACACCAGAAGATCCATACTGGAAAGAAATCCCATAAGTGTGCTGATTGTGGGAAAAGTTTTTTTCAGAGTTCTAATCTCATTCAGCATCGACGGATCCATACTGGGGAAAAGCCCTACAAATGTGATGAGTGTGGAGAAAGCTTTAAACAGAGCTCAAATCTCATTCAGCACCAGAGAATTCATACTGGAGAAAAACCCTATCAGTGTGATGAGTGTGGCCGGTGTTTCAGCCAGAGCTCCCACCTTATTCAACATCAGAGAACCCACACGGGGGAAAAACCCTACCAGTGCAGTGAATGTGGCAAATGTTTCAGTCAGAGCTCTCATCTGAGGCAGCACATGAAGGTACATAAAGAAGAGAAGCCTCGTAAAACCCGGGGCAAAAATATCAGGGTGAAGACTCACTTATCGTCTTGGAAAGCTGGTACAGGAAGGAAGTCTGTGGCTGGTCTTCGTTAAGTAAAGAGCTTTTTGACAGCTTTTTGAGCCCTCTTAAGTAAAAGTAAAAAATGAAAGGAATCTTTTTTAGAAATAGAGATGCTTTATAGTAGATCACTTAAATACTGGATCTTTGCTAGTGTGAAAACATTGGGAATTTAATGACATTATTGGGCTGCAAGAAGTTACGTGAGTCCAGCTACCCTCATTTCTTTTTTATGTGACGTGGAGCAGAAAGAACTGAAAATACGTTTGGAGGGAGTATGACATCCTTGACCTCATTTGAAATTACTTCTGTTTTCAAAAACCATCATGTTTTGCAGATGCATTTTGATAAAAAATCATCATGTTTTCAGGATATATTTGTGAATGCAGGCATGACAGTGATTACTCAGTTTAAGGACTTTCTGTGGAAGAAATAAAAGGGAGAAGAAATTAATTCTACTAGTTTTGAAGTTCTGCAACAGATAAGATTTTGTTTGTAAAGTTTTGTAGTATATTAACCATTGGTTTATAAGTATGACTCAAGATTCAACATATTAAAATGTATTCAAGCTCACAGATTTTTAATAAGTTAGGCCCATCTATATTAGCTATTGTTTATTTCTTCCCTTCTCCTTGTGGACAATTGTTAATTAAAGGAGTAAGAATTTCCCTGTTGGTTTTTTTTTTAAAAAAAAAAACAAATTTTTAGTAAGAGATACTGTAGAATCCAAATGAGAATTGAATTGGACCTCAAGTCTCCAGTTCCTACTAATACTATTCTTTGTGATGGTAACTGCTGTCATTTGTTTTCCACAAGTTGGAATGGATCCATGTCGATCCAACCCCTTGCCCGTGACCTCTTCTGGCATTCTCTTGTGCTCTGACAGACTGAGCTAGCCTTTTAGATCTACAAGAGTAAACAAACTATTTCACCAAGAAAAATCTCAGCATGCTTCCTGCTAATTAAAAATTGACAATTTACACACCTCCCTGCCTTCAAGACTGTGAGATTAGATAGCCCTGCTTAAATGTTTGTCAACAACAAAAGTCATGTAATGTATCAGTGCATTGTAGCTCCTTTGAAATTTAACTCTTTCTGTGTTACATGAATTGTTTTAAGGAGTCCGGCAAACATGTTTCTTCACTTCCATCAGAATGGTGCCAAGTGTCAGACTCTGATGAGCCTCCAGCTCAGGTTTTTAATTTCTATTGAATGCTAACATTTTTCTGATTTTTTGATATCTTTTATAATCATATCAGTTTCTGCTGTATTAATGACAATTATTCATAAAAATAAAAAATGAAATATTTTGTATACTACTATCTTCTGTTTATTTATTTTTCTCCTGGGGAATTGTTTTAATTATTTAAACAACAGATCTAAAATCACAACTTTTGGATGGATCACTTGTTTTGCCTGTTTTTGATTTCCTCAAACTTGAACTTTGCCTTCCTCCTGGCCTTGCATTTGAGTGCAGGGCCGTAGAAGATGGCCTTGAACTTCCCAATTGCCTTGTTGACAAGTTTCATTCAATAGGATATCCACAGGGTGTTTTGTAAGTATGAGGTGATCGCAGTTGTTTTT